TATCCCTTCCCCAGAAACAGTGAATCTTTGCCTGTGCCCTCTGAATGAGAAGGTTTGCTGCCTGTCTTAGTCTGTTTTCTGCTGCTCTAACAGGATAACACGGACTAGGTAATTTACAAAGAAAAGAGATTCATTTGGCACACAGATCTGGAGGCTGGGAAATCTAATATCAAGGGGCCATGTCTGGTGAAGGTCTTATTGCTGTGTTATAACTTGGAGGAAGGCATTACATGGTGAGGAACTAAGCGTGCGACCGAGAGAAAAGGGAAGCCAAACTCTTGAGATATCTAACCTACTGCCTCAATAATGTCATTAATTCTTTCATGATCTAATTACCTCTTAAAGGTCTCACCTCACAGTGGTAATTAACTTTCAACTTCAGTTTTGGAGGAGGCATTCAAACCATAACACTGCTCACCCTCCAATAGCTTAAGACTTTTTCTTAGTAAAAGAGTCTGGGGTGTAGGTGGGCATTGTGTCTGTGTCTCCTACGATTGCCAATCAATACCTATATTCCCGGGCCACTAAGGGAGACTATCTCTAGTCTTCTGCTCTGCCCCTGGTCATCCTACTGAGCCCAGTGGAGGCCTCTGGAAAAGACTTGCCAATGAGTGGAAAGTTTTCTTGTGTCTGGATGGAGGACGTGCACTTCTTACAGCCTCCTACACCCTGAACAGAAGCAGAAGCAGCCTATGATAGCTGCTTAATGTCCTTGCCTACTAACTCTTTTGTCTTTGTCATTTCTAAGTCTGTTTCTACTAACTGGTTTTTCTCCTGGTCATTGGTCAAATTTTCATGCTTCTTTATTTGTCTAGTAAGTTTTGATTTATATATTGTAAATTTAATGTTATTGGGTGCTAGATTTTGTTATCTTCCTTTAAAGAGTATTTTTTTTTCCTGGCATATGGTTAAATCACTTACAGATTACTTTGATTTTCTTGAGGTTTGTTTTTAAGCTCCTCTTTCCATGTGGTGTAGAGTGACTTTCACTGTACAACCAATTTAGCCGCTCCTAAAGCATGGTTTTTTTGAATTCCCTCTGAATTTTCTGCAGATTCAAAGAGGTCTCTTTTTTCTGACTGGAGGGAAGTTGAAGGATTTCTTGCCCTGTGTGAACTCTGGGAATTGTTTATTTACAGCCTCCCCCTTCTAGTTCTTTCCTTAGGTTGTTATTCACTCAAAATTCGAGGGACTCAATGCAGATTTCTGGAGCTATGTCTCTCTTTAGCTCCCTCTTGTGTGCTCAGCCCTGCAAATTTTAGCTGCTTTGGCCTTCTTTTTTTTTGAGTTGTAGTCTCACTCTGTTGCCCAGGCTGGAATTCTTTGGCGTACTCACAGTTACCTCAGCCTCAACCTGTTGGGCTTAGGTGATCCTTACACTTCAGCCTTCCAAGTAGCTGGAACTATAGGTGCGTGCCACCATGCCTGGCTAATTTTTTGATTTATTGTAGAGATGAGGTCTCACCAAGTTGCCCAGATTGGTCTCAAATCCCTGGGCTCAGGCAGTCCTCTCACCTCAGTCTCCCAAAGTGCTGGGATTACAGGTATGAGCCACCACGCCTGGCCTGCTTTGGCCTTCTTGAACTTGAGTCTGTCTGTTCAACTCAGTGAAATTGCCTAACTGAGTGCCCCTCCCTGAGCTATAGTTTAAGGAGTTACTTCCAAGCAGAAAGCCAAGCTTATAAATAGAGCTCATCTTGTTCATGTCCCTTTTCTCAGAGACCACGGTTCTGAGCTGCTTGTTGTCTAGTGTCTGAAAATAGTTGTTTCCTACATTGTGTCCAATTTTCTGGTTATATATAGTAGAAGGTTAATTACAGACCACCTGTAAGCCCACAGATTGTTCTGTGAAAGCAGAATATTTTTATTTAGGGATAATTTGACTAAAAGTTGATTTAAAAATTTTCTTGGCTTTAAAAGAAATACCAGAGGAATTCTGCTTCATATTATGTAGGAAAATAAGTTCTAGATGGATTAAGGATTTATATGACAAAACCAAAAATTGAAAACGCTTAGTAGAAAATATTGATGAATAGTTTTTAGATCTTGGGAATAGAAAAAAGTTTCTTAAAATACAAAAAGTGTTGGTTATAAAAAGATTGATAAATTGGATGCTTTTAAAATTAATACCTTTTTAAAATTCAAAGACCTTTAAATAAAATGAAAAGACCAGTGACAAACTGGGAGCAGATATTTATAATAATACATACAAATGAAAATGATTATGTCAAAAACATATTAAAAACTCCACAAATCATGAGAAAAGCACAAAAACTCAATATAAAAGTGGGCAAAACACATGAATAGGTACTTCACAAAAGAGGACACTTACATGGCTAATAAATATCTGAAAAGATGTTCAACATCATTAGTAATTAGGGAAATGTAAACTAGAACTACAGTTAGAACTCTTTCCACACCCATTCCATTGGCAAAATTAAGAGGATCTTTTTATATTTTGCTGAAAGAGAATACATTGGGGCAGCCACTTTAGCTTATATTTTGGTATTATCTCCTGAGGTTGAATATATGCATATCTTATGACCCTTCAGTTCCACTCATAGGTATACACTCAGAAGAATATCTTTTTATTTTTATTTTATTTTATTTTTTTTGAGTTGGAGTCTCACTGTCACCCAGACTGGAGTGCAGTGGCCGCTCCCGGCCACCATAGCCTTGACCTGCTGGGCTCTGGTGATCCTTCCGCCTCAGCCTTCCAAATAGCTGGAACTACAGGCGCACGCTACCACGCCCGGCTAGTTTTTGATTGATTAATCTATTTTTTATTTTTTATTTATTTTTTTGAGTTGGAGTCTCACTCTGTCTCCCAGACTGGAGTGCAGTGGCCGCTCCCGGCCACCGCAGCCTCGACCTGCTGGGCTCCAGCTATCCTTCTGCCTCAGCCTTCCACGTAGTGGGAATTACAGGCACGCACTACCACACCCGGCTAATTTTTTTGATTTATTGTAGAGATGAGGTCTCGCCAAGTTGCCCATGCAGTCCCGAACCCGCAGGCTCAGGCAATCTACTCACCTCAGCCTCCCAAAGTGGAGGATTAAAGACTGAGCCACTGAGCCTGGCTTAGAAGAATATCTTTTGCATGTACAACAGGAGGCATGTATACAAATGTTATTAGCAGCATTGTTCACAATTACTAAAACTCAAAAGCCACCCAAATGCCCAGCAGTGGGAGTATAGATTAAAAACATACAAACAACTATGATGTATTCATATGCTATATGCAACAAAATAAACCGCAAAGATATGTAATGCGGATGAGACCAAGTGGTATAATATTAAGTGAAAACACCAAGTCCCCTAAATTCTCATTCATCTTGATGTTTTTAAAAAATTAAAATACCCTTAAAAATTAGAATAAGCCAGGCTCGGTGGCTCAGCCTCTAATCCAGCACTTTGGGAGGCTGAGGTGAGTAGATTGCCTGAGCCCACGGGTTCGAGACCCACCTGGGCCACTTGGTGAGACCGCATCTTTACAATAAATCAAAAATTAGCCGGGCGTGGTAGCGCGCGCCTGTAGTTCTAGCTACTTGGAAAGCTGAGGTGGAAGGATCACCGGAGCCCAGCAGGTTGAGGCTGCGGTGGCCGGGAGCGGCCACTGCACTCCAGTCTGGGTGATAGAGTGAGACTCCGGCTCAAAAAAAAAAGCTAAAATAAAAAATAAAAGTTTGAGGATTGCACTTAAGTGCAAAAAGTATATAAAAAGAAAGGCAAGGGAATGATGAATGTGGTTGGAGATGATAACCTTTTGGGATTAGAGAAGCAGGGAGATAGGATAGACGAAACAGACTATATGGTTTGAATTAAATTATTATCAAGGTCTTAGCTTTTATTTGCTTTTTACAGTATCTGCTAATGAGAATACGCTCTGGCTTAAATCAGTTTTAAGGCCTTTTCTTTGGAATTAACTTTAGAGCCAGTTTGTACCACACAGCAGTATCAGTCACATTGCTTTATAATAACCCTGTGTTTTCAGGTCCCTCCAAATTTGCTTGTTTGTTCATTCACTATATTTACCACATTGGCTTCAAATGACTTTTAACTTCTTGAAAATAAATCCACCCTTAAAAACCTGATAATTGCCTTTGAAGATATTTAAAAGTGTGCTAGGAGTCATTTTAATTGCAGAAATGAGACCGTGCTCCTCCTGAAGAGGGATGTCCTTTTTTACACATATAACTTTTGGCATGTTTGTTAAAAGTAAGCCTTGTTTTAGCCGGGCTCAGTGGCTCAGCCTGTAATCCCGTGCCTTTGGGAGGCTGAGGTGAGTGGATTGCCTGAGCCCGCGGGTTCAAGACCCACCTGGGCAGGCGAGACCTAATCTCTACAATAAAATCAAAAAATCAGCTGGACGTGGTAGCGCGTGCCTGTAATTCCGGCTACTCGGAAAGCTGAGGCGGAAGGATTGCCGGAGCCCAGCAGGCGAGGCTGCGGTGGCCGGGAGTGGCCGCTGTACTCCAGTCTGGGCAACAGAGTGAGACTCCAACTCAAAAAAAAAACAAACAAAAAAAGTAAGCCTTGTTTTATTTTATTTGTTTATTTATTGAGTCGGAGTCTCACTCTGCCACCCAGGCTGGAGTGCAGCAGCATGCTCATGTATACCTCAGCCTCGATTTGTTGGACTCAGGTAATCCTTCTACCTCAGTCTTCCAAGTAGCTGGAGCTACAGGTGTGCGCCACCACATCCAGCTAATTTTTTTATTCATTGTAGAGATGAAGGCTCGCCATGTTACTCAGGCTGGTCTTGAACTTGTAGGCTCAGGCTATCCTCTTGCCTCTGCCTCCCAAAGTGCTGAGATTACAGACGCGAGCCACCACGCTCAACTTAAAAGTAAGCCTTATTTTAAGGTGGCTTTGAACATAGTCTTTTTAATATGCATAGCAGAATACACTTAATCAATATCACTCTAAACCTGACTTTAGATGAGTCTATGATTTAGTTTGTAGTAAGTAGGCTTGTCTTTGTTTTTCTCCCTCACCAGGTATACAATGTTTACATGGCAGGGAGGCAGCTGTGCTCTAAGCGGTACCGGGAGTTTGCCATCCTACATCAGAACCTGAAGAGAGAGTTTGCCAACTTTACATTTCCCCGACTTCCAGGGAAGTGGCCATTCTCATTATCAGAACAACAATTAGATGCCCGACGTCGGGGATTGGAAGAATATCTAGAAAAGGGTAAGCTATCTCCTTAAACTCTACTATTCTGAGTACACTTAGGGTCTGGATATGCAACTTCCAAATTTGCTCAACTGAGTTTCCTGAAACTCAGTAGTGAAAATAAGTCAAGTTTTTGACTATCCGTGTGGAATAATCTGAGCTTTCAAGGCAAGACTGAACTATCCAGTAGGGTGATTAGTAGCTTGTTTTATTGGTTCATTGAGTATCTAACAACAACAGAAAAATGAATATTTAATTTTTGATGCATTTGATAGTCCTTAATGGGCCTTTATTTATAGGATTACATAATTTGCCAGCAAATGCATAGAGAACAGACTCATCAATAAGCTGAACTAATTTGGGAACTAACTGGGCAATATTTATGACATTTTCATTAAATTGATTCTTGGCTCCCTGGCATATCCTACATGAAAGCTTTTTATTCATTTCACAGGTATTCATGGATAGGTTTGCTGAGTTGTAGGTAATCTAAATTGTCCTTGTTCTAAGCAGGCCAAAGGTAGAAATATCGAACTATACTTGCTATCTCACTGCTTCCAAATGATACATTAGGAGTCTGTGGACGCTGAAACACTTGTTTGTCTAGAAAGGCAACAAAATGGTACAGATCTCCTTAATAAGATAGTTCGTCTTATGGATCAGAGAAGAGATCTCTCCTTGCTACATCATAGAGTTATATAATTTGTTATCTGTGCAATAGGTTTTTCTCTAAAATACTAGTTTAGTAGAATAGTGGTCTTATGTGATATTTAGTCATTCTGTGTCCTTGTATAAGAACTAATTGACCTAGTTGGATTTAAAAAAAAAAACTTTGGTAGGCAACCTTATTCCTGAAGAAAAACCATTTCTCTCATAGAAGGTAGTGGGACTTCCTCATCTGTTTTTAGCTTTTTCTAACATGGACTGGCCTCTGAACACAGCCCTTGGGAAATGAGAAAGGGTACAGTTTTAAAAAATCAGATTAAGTAAAGTCATCAGTATAATTTACCATCCTCATGAGGGTGTCAGGAAATTAACTTTGTTACACTTAGAGGATTAGCTACCTGCCTGCTTTCCTTCCTTTTTTTGGGGTGGTGGGGTTGTTTTGAAGCTAAAGTAAGTGAGGTGAAGTGATGTGCTCAGCTTAATGCTTAATTACCTACCCATTCTTTCCAAAATGGCTTTAAATGTTTATGGTTCTCTGGTTGGCCACATAGAGATTTCCCTTTTGTATTTCAATTTTGTATATAGTTTGTTCCTGTTGACCTTTCCCTACCCCTGCCTCTTTCCTCCATGTACTGTTGTACATATGTTCTGTCATGCAAGATGGCCAAGTTAGATTTACTGAACTTTATTTCTCTTTTCTGGCTATGTTTAATATTTTTAGCAAATTGGATCTTTGTATTTTCTATTATTTCTCTGTTCTGATAATTTTTAGATAACCATTTATCACACCTTAAAATCTCATCTGCCAGGCGTGGCATGCTACCTCCTCTACCTGTTACTGATAATTTAACTTAAACCTTGATATGTTCTTGACTTTATATTCTTAAAGACCTTATGCCAGATACTCTTTGTTTTCTACAGTGTGTTCTATACGAGTGATTGGTGAGAGTGACATCATGCAGGAATTTCTGTCAGAATCAGATGAGGTAAGTGAATATCTCCTTTAATGATCATTTTCCTCTTGGCTCCTTGTGGGGGAAAATAAATGAAAGATATTGATTATGGATTAAATTGCCATAAATTCTCGACTTCCTTTTCATATGTATCCTGCTTATTTACTCCTGTAAGATCTAGTGCCAGTTCCACCTTCTTTTTTGGAAGCCATCCCTGATGACTTGTGTCATCAATTTTTCATTCTACCAAGAACTTTTGCAATCAGTACCGCTCAGTTATCATCTGTTGCTGTCTCATTCTCTAATATTTATACATATAATCAGATTGTCACTTTATATTTTTAGCTTACAAGAGTGTGAGCTACCTGTAGGTAAGAGCTAAATCTTGATCATCTTTATATTCCCAGTGCCTTACCACACAGTGTCAAGCATGTTGTAGGTGTTTAATAAATATTAATTAAATGAATATTTAATGGTAATATGTTAGTGTGTTATCTAATTATTTTATATGTTTTTGTCTTGTTTTCCAACTAGATTATAAATATTTTACAGACGGGGGCTTATAATAAAGTAATGCTTAGGATGGTTTTAGGCAACAAATAGTACTTTTTAAAAAGTAGTAAATGAAAATGGACTTGTTTCTAAATAATTGTTTCTCTCTAATGAAAATTACAAGGTCCCCAGCGCTTTGGGAGGTCGAGGTGAGTGGATTGCCTGAGCCCGCGGGTTCGAGACCCACCTGGGCAACTTGGCGAGACCTCATCTCTACAATAAATCAAAAAAATTAGCTGGATGTGGTAGTGCGCCCCTGTAGTTCCAGCTACTTGGAAGGCTGAGTTGGAAGAATCGCCGGAGCTCAGCAGGTCGAGGCTGTGGTGGCCAGGAGTGGCCACTGCACTCCAGTCTGAGTGACAGAGTGAGACTCCAACTCAAAAAAAAAAAAAAAAATTACAAGGTCAAAAATCTGTTAGAGGAATGTTAATCATCAAAAGCAGTAAGAGGATTTCTTTTGAATTAAAGAGAATAAGAATTGCTTACTCTTTGCTAGAAGAAAATTGAGAATCAGTCTAACTTTGAAAGGGAAAATGGATGAGACTCAAGTATCCATTTTTCTTTTCAAAGATGTCCTGATTGTTTCAGTGTTCAGAAAGAAACTTAGGATACCCCTTGATCCAAACTACATGCCCAGCTCTTAACACCAGAGACTATACGTTGAAACTACTGCTTTTGGTTGTTTTCTCCTCTCATTTGTGAGTTCTGAATGGAGAGAAGGAGGTGAACCAAAAATCTCATCTGTGTTTGACCTAGACTGCTTCACACAAGATTTGTTTTGAAACGTGAACACGTTGGCTTCAACATGCTTCTTTCCTCCCTGCTCATCTTAAAGGTTAACTTCTGTTACAGCCTAAAGTCAGCTTTATGACTTGTAAATGTAATTGACTTTTTCCCCTTTTTTATTGGAACTCACTTCCTCTCTATCACATATTTAGGTTATTGTTTAGCTAGCATGTTACAGGGATAGTGAGAATATACTGAGTCATAAATTCCTTCTGTGTGTCTTTTCCCTTAGAACTACAATGGTGTGTCCGACGTAGAACTGAGAGTAGCATTACCAGATGGAACGACAGTTACAGTCAGGGTTAAAAAGAACAGCACTACAGACCAAGTATATCAGGTAAATTAAACTTGAACAAGTAGACTTGACATTGGATGTTGTGTAGCTGACAAAGAAAGATTAAATACATATAAAGTACTTATACCTAGGATATCTGGCACATAATAAGCTTATTAAATGTTGGCTGCTATTGTTATTATTAATGTGAAAGTACTTTGTCCTCCTTGAAAGAAAGGCACAGTAAATATACAGGTTGTAGTAGTTGTATTAGCTCTTTCTTTCTTTTTCTTTTTTTTTTTTTTTGAGTTGGAGTCTCACTCTGTTGCCCAGGCTGGAGTACAGTGTCACACTCATGGCCACCCCAGCGTCGATCTGCTGGACTCTGGCAATCCTTCCGCCTCAACCTTTCAAGTAGCTGGAACTACAGGCACGCGCTACCACATCTGGCTAATTTTTGATTTATTGTAGAGATGAAGTCTCGCCAAATTGTCCAGGCGGGTCTCAAACTTGTGTTCTCAAGCAATCCTCTCACCTCAGTTTCCCAAAGTGTTGGGATTACAGGCTTGAGCCACCATGGCTGGCCTACCCCTCCTTTCTTAATTGTGAAAAACTTTATAACATATTTGAAAACAGAATAGTAAGGTGTGGTGGCTCGTGCCTATAATCTCAGCACTTTGGGAGGTGGAGGCAAGAGGATTTCCTGAGCCCATGGGTTCAAGACCAGCCTGGGCACTATGGTGAGACCTTGTCTCTACAACAAATCAATATGTTAGCTGGGCACACACTTGTAGTTCCAGCTGCTTGGAAAGTTGAGGCAGAAGGAGAGCCTGAGCCCAGCAGGTCAAGGCTGCAGTGACCATGAGCATGCCACTGCACTCCAACTTGAGTGACAGAGTGAGACTCTGACTCAAACAAACAAACAAACAAAAACAGAATAATACAATGGCTCTCTATATGCTAGTCATTCGTATTTAATAATAATTATCAGCCAGGCTCGGTGGCTCAGCCTGTAGTCCCGCTCTTTGGGAGGCTGAGGTGAGTGGATTGCCTGAGCCCGCGTGTTTGAGACCCGCCTGGGCAACTTGGCGAGACCTCATCTCTACAATAAAACCAAAAAATTACCTGGGTGTGATAGCACGCGCCTGTAGTTCCAGCTACTTGGAAGGCTGAGGTGGAAGGATGGTCGGAGCCCAGCAGGTCGAGGCTGCGGTGGCCGGGAGTGTGCCACTGCACTCCAGCCTGGGCAGAGTGAGACTCCAACTCAAAAAAATAAAAAAATAAAAAAATAAATAATAATAATAATTATCAAGCTTTTGCTACATTTGCATTATTTTTCCCTTTTTTCTTTTTAAAAAGTATTTTAAAATAAATTCCATGTTACTGAACCTGTGTTTGCTTCAGTATGCATCTAAAATAGGGATATTCTTCTTACATAATGACAATGCCACGATCAAACCTAAAAAAATTGGCACTATTTCTTTGGTATTAACTAATAACTACTGCCGGGCTCGGTGGCTCAGCCTGTAATCCCGTGCCTTTGGGAGGCTGAGGTGAGTGGATTGCCTGAGCCCGCGGGTTCAAGACCCGCCTGGGCAGCAAGACCTCATCTCTACAATAAATCATAAAATCATCCGG